GTGGCCCTTCCCCGCGCCAGCGCTTCGCCCGTCCGTCGGCACATCCCAGACCTGGACGGGACAGCGACGGTTCCGCATTCCAGGGATCGATCGGTGGATATCACACAGAGTGAAATGCAGAGAGTGCCCACCTGTCCTTGGAAATAACTTCTGCATATTTGCTCTTTTTTTTCTTTTTTTTTTCTTTTTTTTTCTTTTTTTTTTTTTTAGAAAGAAGATTGTAAGAAATTTTAGAGCGATGCTGCTGTCCGAACCACCCCAGGAGCAGATGCCCTGAAATAATCGTAACTGTGAACCCCTGGGTCAACATCGAGTGTTGCTGGATATTTATTTCACTCTATTAACTTTATATCCTACAAAGGCACTTAATGAGAAGGAAAACAAATAGGTTGCACTTTGGAGAAACAAGATATCGGAGTTGGCTGGGAGGGAAGTACCCAGGATACATACAATCGAGACACCGGGATAAACTATTTCATTTTATTGATTAGCAACTGCGCTAGGGCTGTAAATTGGTTACTTGTAACTATTCTAGAACATCGTTTATTACAGCAGGCACGGCGCTCCCGCATGGGCGAAAAGCTTTTGGAGACCTTTAGCTGCTGGCGAAAGGACTGAGCCCTGGGTTAAGTAGTTCCTGTGAAAGTAGTAATTACTCCCTAATAGCCCTGGACTCTTAATCTACCCTAACGATGTCCTTCTGAGCCTTTATCTAAATGCAACAGAGATGCAACACTTCTTGCCGGGCTGCTGGTTGTGCCAGGGGGTTGGGTAAGTTGGGAGCAGCGAGAGCTCGCCAGCGCCGGGGGAGGCTGGAGGTGGCTCGTTCCGTGTTTTGCAGCCTCCTGGAGCAGGGATGCAGGTAGGGCTTGGAACCAGCCCGACCCTCTGTCCCAGCAGCACTTCTCAGATAAAAACCCACTTTTTTAAGAAAAGAACCCCAAAGTGGATAGCGTTTACATAGCGACACGGACAACATCACGCTGGGTTTCTGCAGGTTCGGGAGAGGATGCGCTGGGGGCACGGTGCCAGCAGAGCGAAACCCTCTCCTGCACCAAAACCACCGACGCTCGGGTTTTGTCATTGTTGCTGCAACTCCACTGAGGGCTGCTTCCAGCAATCCCACTTCTTTCCCACACAAATCCCGGGTGTTGCTGAGCCAGCACAAAGCTGGGAGGATACGCACACGTCCACGCACCCCTCCTCCAGCCAGGTTACTGCTCCCAGCAGCGCTGCTGAACTCAAAAAAAAAAAAAAAATTAAAAAAAAAATAAAGAAGGCTGGAAGATCTGTGTGGGAGGCTGGGACTTGGATAACCTCCTGCAAAAGCTCAGGGGAACCGGGACAGGACGGGGCTCTGGCAGCACAGCCACGGGCGCTGCTGCCCTTGGGTAACGCCGCGGGCAGAGCTGGGCTTGTGCCGCAGCCAGAATCCTGCTCTGCTCCTGCAGCGGGCTGGAGCTGGGTGTGATGGGGATCCCGCAGCGGCAGGTTCACAGCTGGCAGCAGTTCCCGAACGGGATTTACACCTTCAAATGTGGTGGGTCCAGTTCTCCCAGAGAGAGCCAGGGCAGGTCAGGCACTGGGGAGAACATCTTACTGGGGAGAATATCTTACTGGGGAGAACGTCTTACTGGGGAGAACGTCTTACTGGGGAGAATATCTTACTGGGGAGAACGTCTCACTGGGGAGAACGTCTCACTGGGGAGAACGTCTCACTGGGGAGAACATCTTACTGAGGAGAATGTCTTACTGGGGAGAACATCTTACTGGGGAGAACATCTTACTGGGGAGAATGGCTTACTGGGGAGAATGTCTTACTGGGGAGAACATCTTACCAGGGAGAACATCTTACCGGGGAGAATATCTTACTGGGGAGAATATTTTGCCAGGCACAGCCACAGCAGAGCTGGTGGGAAGGGGATTTTCCCCCTGCACTCTGCTGGCACCACGAACATCTGCAGAACATCTGCTCTCCTGGATCCAGCTGTGCGAGGGCAGAGCGAGGCGCTGGCCTCACCGACCCGTGTCCCCAGCAGCTGCAGAGCCCCAGGGAACCCCCCCCATCGCTCACTCAGGACAGCACCAGCCCAAAGGGGTGCTGAGCTCCGGGCTGACCCCACTGCCATCCCTCACCCCGTGGGCTGCTGCTGTGTCACCCCCCACCTCGTTAACCAGCGCTTACTGTTTCCTACTGGTTTCCTGCCTGCTGCTCTCCATCCCAAGTTTTCTCCTCTTAGAGCACACATTTTGGGGGATAAATGTTGTTTTCAGTATTTGGGGTTTGCACGAGGGGTTGTGGACCACAGCTGGGATGCTGAGACTTGATGCTGAGAAAAATAACAATGATGTGAGCTCTTGATTGTAGCAAAATTATTCTTCCTGGAAGAAAGAGAAAAAGGAGTAGGTTGGAGCTCTCTAAGGCAGCACTTGCACTTGTCAAAAAAAAAAAAAAAAAAAAAAAAAAAAGGAAATTAAGGAAGTTTTTAGGGTGGAATGAAGGTTTAGAGCGATGCCATATGTGCTATGCCCCCAATCCACCTCCATTCTCGATTTGGTGATACCGTAATGTTTAATTGCCATTAATGTAAACATATTTTAAAAGGTTATTTTCCTGCTCCGTGGGTCAATAGACCTAATGAAGCAGCTCTAAGTGGGTTTGAATTGCTTTGAGGAGGTGCTTGATTTCCTGTTTACCTCACGGCAGTGGGTTTGGTCCCGCACAGCCGCCGGGTATAAAAGCTCCGCAGGGTCCCCTCCGAGCACCAGGACGGGCTGAACCCTCCGGGCAGCTTCAGAGCAGCAGGAAGGTAAGAAGCTCTATGTCAATCCCTTTTTCTAAACTTTTTTTTTTTTTCCCTTAAGATAACAGTGGGATCGCGAGTGTCGGGCAGGAGCTATAGCAGAGCAAGAATAACTCATACCTTTGGCTGAGTTTTTCCCAAAGTGACACAAATCTGTCGGTTTTCTCCATAGCTTTGGTGGGAAAGACCTCTGGATGCAGGTGTTGGGTTGGAAAGGGACAGAGCATGATCCCAGAGCAGGATTCAGTAAATCACAAACATCAGGCTGGGGTCTGCACCGTTGGATAGGTGCTGCGCAGGGGAATGGGGAGAAAATCCTTCTTAGTTGCTTAGGAAAAAATAATTCTTAGTTGCTTTAGGAGAAAATAATTCTTAGTTGGTTTAGGAGAAAATAATTCTTAGCTGCTTTTTGGGACCTCCCAGCTATGAATAAAAAGGGATGGTGCTTCTTCCCAAGCAGAGGGCATTGCACAGGGGGCTGGAGGACCTTCCTGGTGCAACGATCCCGCCGGCGTCTCCTCCTGTCGTGCGGGAGCCCAGCCGCAGGGTCCAGAGCGCGGGTGTCACCAAACCGTGCCAGATGGGGCTGGCAGAGCTCAGCTGCTCCTGCCCAGTGGCACACAGGCAAAGGGGGCTTGTATTCGTTCAAAAATCGTTTTTATCTGAAAAGGTGCACGGCTTTGCCTCCCTGTTGGGGTAAATTCTGCAGAGGAGGAGAACTGGCCTTTCTTAAAACCCAGGCGACAGCGCCGTTCCTCTCCCAGCATCGTCAAGAATTACCCGAAGCAGAACAGCGTTCTTGCCCAATTTTGCTATTTTCAGATCCCTCATCGCTCCCGCAGTTCTATCACCAATATAGGAAACGAAAAGCAAATAAGAGGGAAAACCTCCGTTATTTAACCATGACACTTCTGTTCTCCTGGAAAACGTTCCTCGGCTTTTGGTGTAACGGGATTTGTTTCCGCCGTTAACACTCTGGAGCTATTTGTCTTTTATTGCTTTAGCTTTAAGCATTTTAGGGATTTTATCAGGATTTGGAATATGACACCTTTGCTTTTCAGATCATCCCTCAGAACGGGATGTATCTGAGATAATGGAACACATCTCGTATTTTTCTCATTTAATCCGAAGGGCTGAAAACATTTGTAAAAGAGTCACAGCTTTCCAGAAACAAAAAATGTCACAGTTCCAAACAACACCCAAACTTGCAAATTCTCGCTCTCTCCAAAGCAATAATTGAGCTGTTATAATAACTACTCAGAGGAGCAAAGTTCTATTAATGTATTAAATTTTTTTTGAAGGATGGATGGGTTACTTGAGCCCTGAGCTAGACCTTTGCTTTCTGTTCCTCGATTATTCCCGCTAACAGCAGTTCTCCGTTGCAACACGCTTTCCAGAAATATAACAAAGGGTGAGGTGAGGGACAACAAAACAGATCCGTGAGCCACGATCAAAACCATTTTTGTACAGAGTTAGCAGGGCTGGAATAGTAATTAAAAGAGCTCAAATATCCGAGGGCTGCTGAGCCGAACTGTGGACGTGAGGACTGGAAACAGCTTGAAACTAATAAATCTTGGAACCCGATCCTGTCACTCTGTCCACGGGATATTTTTCATAACTGATATTTGCCAACTCTGGCCCCGGTCCCTCCATAAGGCATTATCCATCCTGCCAGAAAATCTCCCAGAAATGAGATCAGGCTCCTGAAATCCCGCGGAGCCGCGGTGCGGGAGAAGCAGGATGCCGTTGCTACCGAATCGCCCGAGCTACCCGACGTCCCCGTTCGCACACTCGAGGTTGAATCGACCCTTAAAGCACAATGAGGAACCCACAGGGTCAGCTTGTAAACACGGGGCGAGACAAAGCCCTTGCCTCCGGGAACGCGCGATCCACAATGAATTTGATGGTTACAATAAAAGTAGAAGGGACCCAACAGTCAAAGACGCCGCGGTGGGAAGGAGCGTTGGCATTGAAAGCGTCATTTAACGGGGCAGGGCAGAAGAGGGCTTTGTGGGATGGAGAAGGCTGCTCCAAGCACAAGGGCTGAAGAAACACATTTACAAGCGCAGGCACGTGCCCGATCACCGCACATCCCTCTGGGTTCGCTGTCCTGGCATTTTTCTGTCCCATGTGTTACAGGGGCTGGGCATCCGGATTGCCCTCTGCTTCCGAACGGAGAAATCAGCCCAGAAAATGATGTCGTTCAAAGTTCTCTCGCTGCTCCTCGCGTCTCTGGGCTTTGTTTTGATGGAAGAGAACGTCTCGGGGTAAGTGTTTTGGAAAGCTCATGGTGTATTTTGAGCCTTTGCCAGTTCCCTACTGGGGGCAAATGGACTCCTTCCATTGGCATCTTGCTAAGTAGGTGAGAACATGGGTCCCGGGGTAGATCTCAGATAATAGAGATAGCCAAGGGTAGAGAGATGAGCAAGTGATAAGAGAGGCATCAAACGAAAGCCCTGAGCCTTTGAGCCAGAGCCAGGAACTCCCAAGTTTTCCCTGCAAACTTCATGGCTCTGGGTGAGGAGGAACGAGCTGGAAGTCAATCAGGAAGAGCAGGAGGTTGGCTGAGGACTAGGAGCGAGATGTAATCACCATCTCACATGACTGAGGCTAGCAGGCACCCAGGCTTCGGAAGCTTCTAAAAATACGAGCAGTTACATAAAGCAGGTATACAATAAAGATTTTCCCTCGCTTTCCCTGACTCCTGCTACAAAATTTCCAACTGAGAATATCCCAAAGAACCCTTAAGAGAGCCATGGGAGCTGTTGCAGTCCCAGCTCAGAGCACTATAAAAGGATCAGTCCTGAAATCCTTTGCTTGAAATCCTTGGCCACCTAAGGGTGGCCACCAACTGTCCACAGTCAGGCTCCAGGTGAGCCCGTGTCCCCTGTCACCCACCCCTGAGCCTCTCGAGGACACGGGAGAAGGTTTCCCTGGCCCTGGGGGTGCAGCTCCCTGGAGGAAGGAGCCTGAGCGCACTCGGTGCCTCAGCTCAGAGTCCAAGTCCCCGTGAATCGGGCTGCGGCAGGGAAGAAGCACGCTGGCTCCAGACTGGCAGCAAATATCCCGAGCTCGCCTCCTCCCGAGCTCCCAAACCCGAGCTGCAATCGCTTTATCAGCCAGCAAAAGGGATGAGCATCACGCGAGCCCCTTCTCTGGCCACCTCCTCACGGTCCCATAGCCACCTGGCCCAAGAGAGACGGAAAGTGGCCACAAAACCTTGCTGACTGCAGGGACCGCCTGGGCCACCACGTGTAATCCCAAAACTCGGCATCGCACGTGCCCGCGGAGCTCACCCCGTCTCTGTGCTCTCACCCCAGGGTGAGTCCAAGGGCTCCCAGTGCCAGACCAGTGCAACGACGCTACTCGGAGGCCACCCTGGCGAGTGACTACAGCCGCACGATGGACACCATGCTGAAAAAGAACTTTGTGGAGTGGTTGCTCGCCAGACGGGAGAAGAAAAGCGAGTAAGTGTGTAGAGTTCCAGTGCTCCTACGATCCAAACTCACAGCTGTCGTCAGCCAACCGATGGCTACAGAAGAATGTCGAGCCGCGGATATTTTTCTTGGATTGCAGCTGTGATTCTCTAGGGAGTTGGGTGTTTTTTTTTTTTTTTTAATTTTCTTTTTCTAAGTCCTAGAAATCTTTCTGGTCTGTCGGCACCCAGCACAGCCATCCCTTTCCCTGGCCGAGACCGCCTTCTTCTTTGGCTGCTGGTGGATGGAGTGGGAGGGAGCTGGGGTTTGTGGAAAAGCAGCATCTTGGCACCCTCTTGTGGCTTCTGGGGCTGAGATCTTCCCATTTCGCCTTCCCAGCAACATCATCGAGCCGTACAGGAGGGAAGCTGAGCCCCAAATACCAGCTGTGAACGGCCAAAGTTTGGACCTGGGCACCCAAGAAGCCAAAGACTTCTTCAGCTGGCTTCTGAAAACCAAGAAAAGTCAGAGGTGAGACGGGAGAACAGACAATCTGGTGGCAGGGAGGGATGCGGTTCCCCAAGTGTTTTAATTTTTGAAGGAATGCTTTGGGGCAGGAATCTATGGTAAAGGTTTCATGTAGGAAAACAAGAGGATTTGAATTTCAAAAGATTTCACATTTTGCAATTCTGTCTCATGAGAAAGCGCAAAGCCAAAAAAAAAAAAAAAAAAGGCTCTCTCATTTTGAAATTTCTCACAAAATCCAAATTTCAAAAATCCAGATGATTGGGGTCTTTTTTTGTTTGTTTGTTTTGCAAATGTCAGCACAGCCTCACCACACCCCATCGCTTCGATAAGGTCAAAGCTTTGACAGAGCTGAAACGCATCCGTCCCTCTAACACCCCAACCCCTCCGGAACAGAGGAGGCAAAACGAAGCGCTTTGACCTAATCCAAACACAGCCCTCTCGGAAGGAAACTCCCCAGCGAAAACTGAGATGAAATTTCCCAAAGGAGGGGAAAAATAAAATCCCACTCGTTCACACTCTTCGCATGTTGACCAGTTTGGTTTTGGGGTTTTTTTGTTTGTTTGTTTTGGGCTTTTGGTTTGGTTTTTTGGGGTTTTGTTTTGTTTTTTGGGTTTTTTGGTTTTTTTTTTTAAACAGTTCTTTCCTTGTCTCATTGCTACAAGCTCGTATCAAGCAAAGCCCGGCATCTAACCGTGAAACCCTGCAGGAGGGATGCCTGCCTGACCCAGGAGGAATTTCCCAGTTTGTTTCTCATCTGAATGTCCCCAGTAAAGCAAAAATATTTTTTTTTAAGATCTTAAAATCATCACGATCACGGTAATGCTGGCGATACGAGCTGGTTCGGAACAGGCACCTCTGGGGAAGGTCCCCCAGCCCCTCTGGAGCGCGGTGTCGCCGCAGCCTGTGCCGTCCTTCCCCAGCCATCTGGCCGAGCGCGCGCTGGTGCATCGCTGGAGCATCGCGGCGCGGTGGCTTTGTGCTGTGTCAGCACATCCACAGCCTGTCAATAGCCGGGTTCACCTTCCCCAAGCTCAGCGTATGTCACAAATGTTCCAACAGCTAATTAGAGTCCAAAGAAAAATCTGTTCTCGGGCACTTTCTATAAAAAAAAAAGCCACCAACAAATGAACGAGGGATAAATTTCCTGTCTTGAACACGAAAGGGATTTTACAAAACCTAACAGGTTGCTGCTGTTCAGTCCTAAAATGGTGGCAAGAAGGAAAAAAAGCACTTACCGCACACAGCCCACATCCTTCAGGCACAATCCTAGTGTCTTCCAGCAAAAAAATGGAATTTCTAACTACAGGGAGTCATGAGATAGTCACCCAGAAGAACAATCTGGGGGCGTTGGCTGGTTTTTTCCAGCCTTTGCATGAGAAGCACGTTAGAAAGCGGGGAGCAAGGGATGACCTGGGGTGGGGGAAACGAGCAGAGTTCTGGTTCACAGGGGTGTCTTGGGCCGAGCACTGAGAAAATCAGACACCGAGAACCGCTAGTCGTACTGAAAATACAAAATCAAAGAACTGAGGGCTTTGAGGGATCTCGGGAGGTCATTGAGCCTGACCTCTGCTCCGAGGCAGGATCAACGTGCCCCAAAGCGTTCCTGACAGATGTTTGTCTAACCTGTCCTGGGGGAAGGGAGGTGGGAGGGAGAAAAACCTCTGATGCTGGAGATTAATCCATTTGATCAGCTTCATTTAAAAAAAAAATAATTGTTTTCTAGTGTCTCCCTTAATCTCCTTAATTGCAAATAAAAAATGCGAGTCGCAGGGGAAAGTCCTTTTTGGAAGCAAAGCCTTGCCTTTGCGAGTCGGGAGCGTAGCTGCTGCTGCACCCACGCTGTGCCTGTGTCGGGATGCCTGCTGGCTCTCAGGGGAGGTGGGGTGCGAGGGACTGTCCCTCCTCGTCCCCCGACCCTTACAGACGTGCTCACATGCCGAGATCAAGGGGCTGTTGTAGGCAAGGAGCTCAGCACGTCAAAAAGGAGCTAAAGCTGTTTGTGGGTTTAGCTGAGTCAAAGGTATTCGAAGACCAGGAAAAGCAAATGTCCCTGGGAACTGGAGGGGACTGGGACACGAGGCTGTCACACGCTTCGTCTGGGCTGTTGCCTCTCCTCTGTCTTCACGGTGTGGCTCATTTCTTGCAGTTCTGCTTCCCCAGAAGGTTCAGAGGGTTTGAAGGATGTTCTGAACCAGGAGTTTCTGACATGGCTGATGTCGACCGATCTCTGCAGACCAATGTGAGTGGCTGTTCTACCTATTCCTGGTGTCACCAGTGTCCCTACAGATCCTTTCCCAGCCCTTGTCCCCGAAGGTTCTTGCTGCAGTGCCCAATGAATGAATTTAGGATTCCTTTAGATAACCTCCGAGTGCTTACACGGCACAGCTCAGCTGGGTTTGGCTGGAGAGTTCTGCCCAGAGTTTGGTTCTGCAAAAGCACCTTCAGACCACTGATACAAGAAAGAGCCGGGGGAAAACAAATTTCAAAAAATTACTGTCTAGAGAAGGGAGGTTAGTAAATCCTTTTCCTCTTTTTCATGAGAAAAGGAGGTGTTCATCAGGCCACTCACAGGAAACACTTTTCCTGGGTATTGTACACGGCTATGAAAGGCATTCCCAGAGAAACACAAGAAACTGGGATGCAAAAGGTGCAGGGGAGGGTCCCGAGGAGGCTCAAGGGAATGGCGAGCCCATCCTAGGCTTAGCTGAGGAAAACGAAGGCTGAGAGAGACCAAGTCACCATCTATTAAAAAAAAAAAAAGAGAAAAGAGCTGTTCATGCTAATGGCAAAAGCTGGCACAAGAACAACAAGGGATGAACTGTCCATGAATAAATGTAGGTTGGAAATAAGAGGCAGCTCTGTGCTGCAGACAATTCCACGCAGCCAGGGTGAGACAATGTGAGGCCAGAGAAAACAGACAACTGTTGAGCTCCTAGCACAGCCTTGCCTGCGGATAAACACCGATTTGCATCTCTCTCCTCTAACCAGCCGCTGATTTTTCTCAAAACTTGTAGATACTTACAATTAGATCCACATCTTGCTATCAGGATGGATTTGCAAGGTATCAGAGGGGCCTGGAGGGGAGAGTAGGCAACAGCTTACGCCTCGTTTCCTACAGGAACCAAAGGAAAGTGGGTGAAGTGCAGGACAACAGGAATTTATGTTTTTCTCTCCCACTTCTGCTTTGTCAGGTCTGCGTAACCCCAGGACCCTCCTGAGGAGCTCCCTCAAGACATGTGAGAAGGAGGAAGATGACTTATACTCACTCTGTTCTGTGCACATTGTGTATTTTGCTCATGCAAGCAATAAAGAGCTTAGTCTGGAGCTGAAAGAAGATTCAGATAAGTGTTGATTTGGGGATAGACTATAAAACATCACAAAATTGCTGAAAAAGGGTGTCCTTCCAAACCAGGGTCACAGGGGTCACCACACACTTTCTGTCAGTGAACTGCCCTACAGCTGACCCAACTGTAACCCGGGAAGATCCCAGCTGCAGGTTTCCAGGAGTTTAGGAACTGGGCGATGACTTAAAAAATGACATTGGGTGGTGAAGTTCAGCCTGTGCTGCAGGGAAACCATCCTGGAGGGGTCCAAGGCCAGGCTGGACGAGGCTTTGACCAACCCGGGGCAGCGGGAGGTGTCCCTGCCCACGGCGAGGGCTGGAATGAGATGGTTTTGAACCCCAACCCCTCTGTGACCCCATGGACCCGGCCCTGGCCGAGGGTTGGCCCCGCTGACCCCAAGCTGGGAGCCATCCTGCCCTTCCCAAGGGGTCCTGTGCCCTCCCCCTCCCTCCTGACCCCCCAAACCTGG